ATTTTTTTTACAAATAAATATGTGAAAAGTGTGGTGTACATTTGTATTCAGCCCCCGTGAGTCAGTACTTTGTAGAACCACCTTTGGCTGCAATTACAGCTGCAAGTCTTTTTGGGGATGTCTTTACCAGCTTTACACATTTAGAGATTGAAATTTTTGCCCATTTTTCTTTGCAAAATATCTCAAGCTCCATCAGATTGGATGGAGAGCGTCTGTGAACAGCAATTTTCAAGTCTTGCCACAGAGTCTCACTTGGATTTAGGTCTGGACTTTGATTCGAATGCTTTGATCTAAACCAGGGGTCTCCAAAGTTTCTAAACAAAGGGCCAGTTTATTGTCCTTCAAACTTCAGGGGGGCTGGACTGTGGCCAGCGGGAGTGGAAATTTTCCTGACATCAGTGGGAGTAAGCATTTCCACATTTGGTATTTGAGGGAGGAAAAGTGTCCTATCATTGGGAGGAAGAGTGCCCCATTATCGCTGTCAATGCGAGAAATGGTGCCCCATTGTTGGTGTCAGTTGGTAGAACAGTGTCTTGTAACAGTGGGAGGACTAGTGCCCCAAGGCATAAAGGCAAGCAAAGGGCCACAGTTTGGAGACCACTGAATGCGCAACCAAAATGCTAAATTAATTTCATTGTAGCTCTGGCTGTATGTTTAGGTCGTTGTCCTGCTGGAAGGTGAGCCTCTGCCCCAGTCTCAAGTCTTTTGCAGACTCTAACAGGTTTTCATCTAAGATTGCCCTGTATTTGCTCCATCCTTCTTCCCATCAACACTGACCAGCTTCCCTGTCCATGCTGAAGAAAAGCATCCCCACAACATGATGCTGCCGCCACCATGTTTCACAGTGGGGATGGTGTCTTCAGGGTGATTTGCAGTGTTAGTTTTCCACCACACATAGCAATTTTCTTTTAGGCCAAAAAGTGAAATTTTAGTCTCATCTGACCAGAGCACCTTCTTCCACATGTTTGCTGTGTCCCTCATATGGCTTCTTGCAAACAGGACATCTTATGGCTTTCTTTCAACAATGGCTTTCTTCTTTCCACTCTTCCATAAAGGCCAGATTTGTGGAGTGCACGACCGACTTGGCTGCTTCTCTGATTAATGCTCTCCTTGTGTGGCCTGTCTGTCAGGGAATGCACAAATCTACACGCAGGTGCAGAACCCCTGTTAGCCCTGCTCATGGCCGATTGGCGAATACATGTGCGCACAAGTTCCCTCAACTGCAAGGTTTTACCACCCCCTAACCAGTCCCCAGTCACCACCATACTAGTCCTAGTGTCACCATAAGGGCTCATTCACATGTGTGGTGCTCTCTGAAGAGCAATCTGTGTTCATATCACTCTTCAAAGCATATTTGACAGGTGGTAAGCAGGCAATGTATCACCTCCCTCACCGCCTGTTTTAACCCCTTGAACCCCACACAAGTTCCCCCATTCACTTGAATGGATTGTGATCAGTGGGCTCTACACCCATCAAAAGTGACAGGGGGTTTAATTCCTTGTACCCTTCTCTTGACTTATACCTTTCAACAATAAGATGCCTTGTAAGCACCAGAAGAAGGTCAAAGTGTTGGGATGGCCCAGCAAGTGCCCAGACCCGAATCCAATTTATTTGAAGAGATTTTGCAAGGAAGAGTGGGTGAAGATTCCCAAGGCAAGATGTGCCATGCTGATAGACTCATACCCCAAAAGACTGAATCAAAAGGTGCTTCAACAAAGTATTAGTTTAAGGGTGTGCACACTTATGCAACCACATTATGGAAAGTCTTTTTTTTCCTCTTTTAGAGATTTCGGTTTGTTTCAATTTGAATTCCACAAAAAAGTCTCACATGGTATCACTGTATACAAGGCAAATATACTGTGCACTGCAAGTGCAGTTGCTCCAGAGCTTAGTAAATGAGGTAAAGCTCCACAAAGAATACCCAATCACATGCAAGGAAAATAAAAAAAAATTAAAAACAGCATTTTTGCTTGCACATGATTGGATGATAGAAATCAGCAGAGCTTCTCCTCGGATCTAGAGCAACTGCACCTGCAAGTGCACTTGTAGTGCACAGACCATTTGCCTTTAGTAAATCAACTCCAATGTGTTCTGGTGAGTAATTCTAAGTATATGCTGTAGATCAGAAATATCTTATTAGCTGATAACATTGTGTAAAAAAATACATTTTCATTTTCATTAAAGTGTTGCTAAACCCACAACAGTAAAATCAGTCTGTATATGCAGTAAAGCATGCTTGTTATCCTGACTCTGGAACCTAAGGGGTTAATCCTCTGCATTGTGTAAAACAGCGGTTTGATCCTGACTTCTCTGCTCCTCTTGTTCAAATGTCCACGTCTGATAAGACAGACTGAACCGTAGCCATTCTGCACATGCTGTTTGATGTGTATTGCTAGAGAGGTTTTTTTTTTTTTTCTCTCTTGGGAGAGTGCATGTGATCAGCACAGCGCCAATTAGAGCTGTCCAGACAGAGGTCAGGGGTTCTGCATCCTCCTAGAGCAGAAAAAACTCCTCTTACAAGCTTTAACCAGTGTTCCGCTGAACACTGATAGAAGTCACAAGACTGCTCTAACTGCTGATGGGAAAAAGGTATTTAGCAGTTTATATTTACTAAAATAATTTCACTCCCATGTTCTGTGTATTGTGAATGCAGGGTCCTGGGTTTAGTAACACTTTAAGCATTTTCCAAAAACTTGTGGCAAAAAATGAAGCCTGCAAAAGATCATCATGCCTCTTAGGAAATACCTTGGGGTGTTTGTATTACAACGTGTGGTGATTTTGTGGATGTTTCCAATGTCCTGGTGCTCTAGGACCTCTAGAAATGTGATACAAAATGTGTATACAAACTAGCGGTCATCAAAAGCACCTACAGATATCCAAAACACCAAAAATAATCTGTGCATCTACGGTAAACAACAGTAATGCTCTGACAGCTGTATCTGAGCCAATGAAAGTGGAGAGAAAGTGGGAGAAAGTGGAGAGAGTCTCTGCTCTTGTGTATAGCCTGGGATAGAGTTTCAGCTCAGGTAAGTATGGGCTGGGGGGGGGGGGGACTGCACAAAGAATGCATTAGTCCCCTTTCAGACCTCAGCGTTTTCTAGCGAGAAGCTCCAAAATGCTCAGGGGGGGAAAAAATCAATATTACTCTATGGAGATGGTTCACAACTCCACTCCAAGTTGCCTGAAGCAGAATGCCTGAAGCTCAAAAAATTTCGGAGCTACTTTTGTAGTTCAAATTGGGCAGATTGCCATGTTTTTGGTGCGTTTTAATTTTCGTAGAAAAGAAACGCGCAATTGGCGAGTTTTTTCACATGCTGTGAGATTTTCTGCACATTCTAATGCGCGTTTTGCACAATTTTCTGCTCAATGAAAATACGTTTTTTAAAAAAAATAGTAATTATATATGAATAAAAAAATAAATAATAATTAACTCCTAACTTTTAAAAAAGAGTTAGGGTTGTTGTTGTTTGTTTGGTTGGTTATTTTTTTTTTTTATTACTTTTTTAGGTTTTAGGGAGTTAAGGTTATGAGTTAATCATTATTAATTGATTATTACAAGTATTTATTTATGATTATTTTTATTTGTGTATTTTTTAAAATGATTATTATTGTATTTTGGGAGTGTGTTTATTATTATTATTATTATTATTATTATTATTATTAATAATAATAATAATAATAATAATTTTATATTTTTTATGGGTTATGGGATTAAGGTTAGGGGTTAATTATTATTTATTTATTATTTCATAGCATTTATTTATGATTATTTTTATTTATTTGTGTATTTTTTTAAATTATTATTGTATTTTTGGGGGGTGTTTAGGTGTTAATAATAATAATAATAATAATAATTAATAATTAAATTTTTTTTGTAAGGGTTATGGGGTTCAGGTAAGTTAAATATTATTTATTTATTATTACATAGCATTTATTTATGATTATTTTTATTTACTTATGTATTTATTTAACATTTATTTATTAATTTGTTATTATTATTATTATTATCATCATCATCATCATCACCATAACAAAAAATAGTAAATAAATAATAAATTAAAAATAAATAATACATTATTATCATTATTATTATTATTAATAATAATAATAATAATAATAATACAATAATAAAATAAAAGCTGATGGGAAAAGCTGAAGCAGTAAAACCTAGCAACAAATGATGCAACAGATTATATTTTTCTCTTTTGGCTAATAAAAAAATGCCAAAGCTCAAAAACGCTGCATGAAAACACGCAAAAATGCTCAAAAATCGTGGTAAAATATGTGTGGAAAAATGCACAAAAAACACTATGCTCAGATGTGAATAGAGTTTAAAGTTTAAAAAAAGGTTAAAAAAAGATTCAGCCTTTCCAAACATTTTAATTTCGTCATTTTCAAAAAAATCTCACCATGCCTCCTTGGACAGTCTACTTTCCAAAAGGGGTCATATTTGAGGGTATTTGTACTTTCCTAGCATTTTAGGGCCTCAAGAAATGAGATCAGTCATCACTACATCAGGATTCATAGATTTTCAAACATACAGTATATACCATAGATTGTACAATCTATAACTTTTAACCACTAGCCTACAGGGCACTTATACCCCCTTCCTGCCCAGGCCAATTTCCAGCTTTCAGCGCTGTTGCACTTTGAATGACAATTGTGCGGTCATGCAACACTGTACCCATATTAAATTTTTATCTTTTTTTGTGACAGAGCTTTATTTTTGTGGTATTTAATCACCTCTGGGTTTTTTATATTTTCTTAAAGAAACCAAAAACCACTGAAATTTATTTAAAAAAAAGTGTTTTTTCTTAGTTTTTGTTATACATTTTTGTAAATAAGTGATTTTTCTCCTTCACTGATGTGCGTTAATGAGGCTGCAGTGATGGGTACTGATAGGCTGCACTGATGGACACTCATAGGTGGCACTGATGGGCACTGATGAGGAGGCATTGGTAGGTGGCACTGATGGGCATTGACAGGGCACTGAAAGGCAGCACTGATATATGGCACTGATAGGTGGCACTGATAGGTGGCACTTACGGGCACTGATAGGTGGCACTGATAGGCAGCACTGATAGGTGGCACTGATTGGCATTGATAGGTGGCACTGACTGGCACTGATGGGTGACACTGAAAGGCAGCTCAGATGGGCACTGATATGTGGCATTGATGTGCACTGGTAGGCACTGATACTGTATGTGACATTGATGTGGCACTGATGAGCGTTGGCACTGATGGAGACTGACAGGCGGCACTGCTGGGGCTACACTGATCATCAGGGTACACTGATCATCAGTGCTCTGATGATCAGTGTACATGTCCCCTCGGCGGAATGCCGATTACCGGCTCTCCTCTCCTCATGAGCTGTCAGTGTGACAGCTCGTGAGGAGAGAAAATGCCGATAACCGGCATTTCCCTGTTTACATGTGATCAGCTCTGATTGGACACAACTGATCATATGACTGAGCCGACATCTTTGGCTCTTTCTGTGGATCTGTGATCCGCTGTGTCCGAGGAAAACAGCGCACCGCCGATCTCCGTGCTCCGGGAGCCGCGCATGTGTGGTTAGAATGGGAAGACACCATATGACATCCGCCCAGAATGAGAGAACCACCTTGCGTCCGTCATATTACTATATGGCAGGCGGGAGGTGGTTAAACCTGTTTAATTTTTGATTTGTTTACCAGTCTTTTTTAGTGTCAGATTTTAAATATCACATATTAAAAAACAACAACTTTAATTTGTAAATAACTGTGCAATGTTTGTCCTAACAATAAAAAAAAAAAAATAATATTTTGTTATCTTAAAGTGATACTAAACCCAGGACCCTGCATTCACTATATCTGGTCTTCCGCAGTACACAGGACATGGAAATGCAATTATTTTAGTAAATATAAACTGCTAAATACCTTTTCTCATCAGCAGTTAGAGCAGTCTTGTGACTTCAGCAGAGCACTGGTTACAGCTTGTAGGAGGAGCTTTCTTTCTGCTCTAGGAGGATGGAAACCCCTGAACTCTGTCTGGACAGTGCTGATTGGCCCTGTGCTGATCATATGCACTCTCCCAAGAAAAAAAAAAACCCTCTATAGCAATACACACTAAACTGAGCATGTGCATATGAACATGGGTTCAGTCTGTATCAGGTGGTCAGTTCAACAAGTGGAGGGGCAGAGAAGACAGGATCAAGCAGCCTTTTTACACAATGCAGAAGATTAACCCCTTAGGTTCCACAGTAAGTATAACAAGCATGCTTTACTGCATATACAGGCTGATTTTACTGTTGTGGGTTTAGTAACACTTTTAAGTAATGACAAAATTATTTCAGAATAAACAAGTCCACAGCTGAAATGTCAAATCTGCTCTGACTTTTAGGGATTGGACAGTTGTGAGAGGTGAAGTCACATGCATAGGTTTTAGTACATACACTCACACTGCCCTCCTAGTCATCTTGTAAGATTTTAAACTGTATTGAGGGAAACATGGGGACACCATTATTGTCCTTGTTTTAAAAATTCTTCTGAATCACAGACCAGGAACAAACACATTTGTAGGTTATAAATCTGTGACTTATATGACTGTATTTATTTCTGACTATAATTTCTATTATCGTGTCTGATCATATCGTGCCATGTCAAATCGTTATGTAACCTTTTATTTATGTCCACATCTTCTGTATTGATTTAGAATGCATTCATGGAAGATGCTTTACATCTGTTGTTCTTTCTTCATAAATGTATTGCTGCATATTTGTAGACTCTAAAGTTAGAATGAAGTCAGAACACTTGATTGTGTACTTTTCTCATGCCAGTTTCTTTTTAAAGCCAGCAACGATGCATTTAGTGTTTTCAGAAACAGAGGTCAGCTATGACAGCCTACACATTCTCTCAGTGCAGGCGTATTTTAGGGAAAATTTAGTGCGTTTTTTTCCCCTACAGCAGGAATGCAATAGTGGCTCCCTGACTGGTGTCATTTGTTACATTGAATCACTTGTCATTTGTTACAAGGAACAACAGATAGCATGTTGTTTCATTGTTTTATTGTTTATATGAAAGAAGACATTTTGGCAACCATTTAGATATATTTCCAACTCACATATCTCTGTAGGTCAAGAGATCAGAGCTGCCAAGTGAACTTTATCCCAGGCAGTACCTTCCTTTGCATATCTGTCCATGAAAATGTTTTTGTTTTTCAGATGTTACACTTGTTCTTGGTATTTTAATCTAAGCTGTTTGTGAAAGAAGCATACAGATGTACCTCGGTTTATGAATGCCTCGGTTAACGTAATTTTTGGTTTTTGAATGAAAATCCATTGAAAATAATGCCTCGGTTTTTTTTTTTGCAATATGGTGCATTTATAGCAGCAGCCCCGTGCCTTTAAAGTGCACTTTATAAAGAGTTTTGAACAGATAAGACTTTCTTTTTACTTTTTTCTGATTTTCTGACCTCCAGAACTGATTAATTGGTTTTCAGTGCATTTACAAATTTTTTTCAATCATATCCTCCATGTACAGTATTTTTGCCTTTAAAGATTTTTGAATAGATAAGTCTTTTTTTTTACTTTTTTCTGACTTCCGGAATAGATTAATTGGTTTTCAATGCATTTATGAATTAATTTTTAATCATGTCCCTGTACAGTATTTATGCCTTTAAAGTGTACTTTATAAAGAGTTTTGAACAGATAAGACTTTTTTTAAACTTTTTTCTGACCTCCGGAACGGATTAATTGGTTTTCAATGCATTTACAATTTTTTTTTAATCATGTCCTCCCTGTACAGTATTTATGTCTTTAACGTGCACTTAATAAAGATTTATACCAGTGTCCTGATATCTGCCATACTAGCGTCCTGATCACTGCCATACCTCATGCTAAAGTCCTGATCACCCCCATACCAGCATCCTCATCACTGCCATATGTCATACCAGTGTCCAGCATTTTAGGGTTTCAACTGATCAGTTTTCAAATATATATTCCATAGTTTGTAGACTCTACAGATTTCACATAGACTAAATAATATACACTGTTTTGGGTTATTTTTACCTTCAAAATGTAGCAGAATACATTTGGGCTAAATGTATGAAGAAAGATTATCGATTTGTAAAATTCTATAGCAAAAACTAAGCAAAAATTTTTTTTTTTTCAATTTTTCAGTATTTTTTTTGTTTACATAGCAAAAAATAACAAACCCAGTGGGGTCCAAATACCACCAAAAGAAAGCTCTATCTGTCTCAAAGAAAATGCTAAAAATGTTATATGGTTACAGTGTTGCTCAACTAGGCAATTGTCACTCAAAGTGTGATAGTGCTTGAAGGGTAACTCCACTTTTGTGGGAAAAAAACACAATATAGCATTTACAATTGCAACCCAAGTCATTTTGTGATTGTAATGCTGTAATTTCTGTAAAATGCAATATGGCTACCTGAAGGTGTTCTGTACACAATAGTGTGCACAGAACACCCCCTGAAAATGTAATTTCCTGCTTGTGTGATTGGCTTACTGATTTCCCCAGATGTCTGCACTAGATACAAGTCAGATTTTTGGCATCCCCTACAACAAAAATGTCATTTTTGGTGAGATACTTCCTATGGGAAATCGCATCTAAAGGGATTCAAGCCTTGCAATTTTCCTCATTAGTGTCCTGATTGATAATTAGTCACTCTGCATCTACTTCTTTACAATAACAAACGGTAGGAATCTGCAACAAAGTTTATTAAAATCCTTGCAATTTTTTTAATCATAAATACACTGTGTTCTGATGAGCTTGAGTGCAGGAACATAAGAATCTAGTATACTGTACACTGGGGCACCATTATCTAGAAGTGTTCTGTCTCTCCAATCTAACCATTGATAGTTTGATCTCTGTAACTTACAGTTGTGATGAGATAGCGATAACTCCAAACTTACTTGAATAAAACAGGCAGTGACTCGATCCAGACGACACCTTGTAGATCTTGTGAAGTTTATTCCATAAACTGAGAGAATCTTACAACAATAAACATCGGATAGGTCAAAAGATCATAATGTGATTTACTTCATGAGACATGAGGCTTGAAGCTGAGGTGCATTACTGGGAACTTGAATAAAGGGGTGGAGCTATCTATACAGCATGAACTAAACCAAAGGAAGGGGAGGAGCAGAGACAATATACAAAGAACACTTAAAGGCATATGACAGTCATGTGAAACATGACAAGAAGGTTATGGCAACACATACGCATGAAGTCTACCTAAACCTGTACTTGTAAATGAGGAATGTAGAGAGAAGTATAAATCAAACTTTTTGCCATGAGGCAATACAGACAGTTCTTATGAAATACATTTGGGGTTGATTTACTAAAGACAAATAGGCTGTGCACTTTGCAAGTGCAGTTGCATTCTGCAAATGCAGCTGCTCCAGAGCTCATGCAGGGGAGCTCTGCTGACTTCCATCATCTAATCATGAACAAGCAAAAATGCTGTTTTTTATTTTCCTTGCATATTATTAGGTACTCTTTTTAAAATAAAGTTTTACCCTTTTTACTAAGTTATGTAGCAACTGCAGTTGCAAAGTGCACAGTCTATGTGCATTTAGTAAATCTCCCCCATTGTGATACATGAGGCATAGTTATTACATGTAATAGACCCAATTAAAGTGGTTGTAAAGCTCAGACTTGAAATATGAACAAAGCATATCCCTCTATGGTGTGTACTTCTCTCTCTCCAGAGCACTAAGTGTCATTTCTGTCTTCTGCCTCATTCCTCTAGTAGCTGCATGAGTAATTTCTGAGAAGTTTCCTGACACCAAGAGAAAAAAGGTGACGGGAGGGAGCTTCAGCTGATTCACAGCTTCAGCTCTTTTCCTGTGTGCTGTGTGAAGGGGTGTGTGTCTCTTCCCTCCAATCAGCTCTCAGAGCTCTTGTCACTAATGCAACTTCAGCTTTCCACCCTGTTTTTCAGAGCTGAGAGATCCTGTGTATCACCAGAGGCCAGTCACTTCACTGGGTGTATGTCAGGCTAAGTTCACACCTATGCAGGTTGCGTTTGAGCCATTTCTGCATTGCGTTTTGCATTTTTGCACCTGCATTTTTGCTTTTTTTCATTTGTTTTATTTTTTTTGTTGCTAAGCAGATGTAAAACACAAAACACATAAAAAATGCAGCAAAAACGCAATACATGATTATCTGCAGCATTTCTATTGAAGTCTATAGAACCAAAAAAACACAACTTTTTGCATTCAAAAAAAGTCCCTGACCCTTTCCAAAAAATGCTCCGGGTGAAAACGTGCATGTGTGAACATGTCTCATAGGAAAGCATGTTAAATGGACTGTACTGCATTTCTGCAAATGTGTGAAACTAGAGTAAGGGTTTACAATCACGTTAACTATTCTGAGAGCAACAATGCTGTATCATGTAAAAACATACCCCAATCCAACATCTTCTTTTAGAAGTTTAGCACAATCCGACTAATTAAAACTGTTTTCTGATTGGCTGCCATGGGTTATTGCACCTTGGGGTTTGTGTGA